TTTATGTCGATAGAGAAGACACGTTCCTCCTCTGACAGGGTTCCCACGTGTCCTGGAAAATCTGGAAAACCTGGAAATTTAGAGACTAGTTTTCCAGTCATGCAAACACCTGGAAATTGATTAAAATGACCCAAGTATTCTGGAAAATTATCTATGTTGTCCTGGAAAATTCATTTCAAAACTCATTACAACTCAGATTACATAAACCTGGGTGCGTATTTTGTTTGAAACTCAACTATTGGTTGGATAAGCTGCGCGCTATGACACTCTATTTTGGAAATTTGTTGTTGTGATTGCTAATTATTAATTGTACGTGCAACGAACACTTTCACTGTCTTTTAATAGGCTAGAAGATTCATTTTCTGTAAAACCAACATATAATTCACGATTCTGAACCCTGGTCTATCTGCCGCGGCGAAACAGCCAAGGCCCACTCCACATAAGCTACCAGTGGAACCACCTTCTGAGGCTGTTATTATACGCAAGTGCAAGGAAGAGAAAAGAGACGCTGACGCTCCTTGAATGTGAGCTTTTCAGGAGCCGACGCTTTCTTGATTTTCTCCTCCTGGTTTCTGTGAATAAATAATGATATTAGCAGGAATACTTGAATTCTATTAATGGGGACACAATAATGGGGCCTGTGCTGTTTTAAGATATATTTAAAGAGCGTAGTCTGCATTTTATTTTACTCAGGGAGGTCTTTCAAACACTTTTTGGAATAATTATATTCCAATAATGTCTGACTGTTTTAAAAAGTGCCATAGACTAAATGAAGCTTCTTGTTGAGATAGTAAACAACTGTGCATGGAGCAAACTCACCCTTTTGAAGCAATGTTGTTAATGTCTTGACTCGGTCCACTTGGTCTTTGACCTGCCGAAAAACATGGAGATGTTGTAATGTGCAATAAAATAATATGTCTGACGAGCACAGACTCATTTTAATTAATGAAACTGACAGCAAAAGACATAATTTTTGTATTAATGTTTTAGTGAACAATTACCTGTTTTTGCTTTGTCTTCCTTTTCCAACTCTTTTAATTCAGTGTTGATGTTCCCAGCAGAGCTTCTCCTGGTCTAAAGACGGAGAGGAGACAATTAGATAAAGGTTATTGTGGCGTTTTAAATATCAGATTTATTAATAAAATCTATAGGTAAAAGTAGAGGTAGAAGTACTTTTGTTGATGAAGGTTAAGACAATTTTAACATTTTGACATGTTTACTTACTTATGTAGCTTATTAATAAAATCCTAAGTATTTTCATAAACTTCCGTAATTTTAAGCAGACGCACTCACTTTATTAAGTATTTTAAGAGCAAGCAGAAACATTTATATTTACTCGGAAAAGAACTAGAATCATGGAGTAATCGTTATAAGTATAACCCATATGATATGAACCATATCAGTGTCTCAAGACCTTATAAACATGTTTTATTATGTGTTGTAGGTAGAGTCATAACGTCCCATAATCATACAATTAATAGTGAGTATAGTATTTGCATTATAATATAGTATTTAGTAGAAATGTAGAAATCCCCTCCTGTGTGCTTTTATTCTGTTAAATATCTTTAATATGTGATCTTGTACCCTTCTTCATGTACCATTCTCCTACAACCTACTTAATCTACTTACATTTCCCAGTATGCCTTTTGGCAACATCAGAATTTCTTTAGGTTTGTGCCTCACCTGTGTTCTTTTCTCCAGCTGCTGTATCGTCAGCATCATGTCCAAATCCTCGTCTTCCTCGTCGTCCTCGTCCTCTCCTCTCTGCTGGATCTCCTGCAGCCTCTTCTGAAACTGCCACTCCAGGCTGAGCTTTCGGAGCCGGTCGCTCTCCTCTGCCGTGCGCTTCGCTTTAGCCTGGAGCTCCTGCACCTCCTGCTCCAGGAGCTGCACCACATGAAGCCTCTGCTGCTTCTCCAGCTTCTCCTGGGCCTCCCTCCTCCACGGATCAGACAGCTGCTGAGGGTCTCTTTGCTTTGCAGGACCCGAGCCCTGCTTCTGCTGAGTGGGAGGCTCTTGGAAGGAGACATGTTTCGTTGGAGGGATGCTCACTTGGGGTTTTGCTCCCTGATCCCTGTGTGTTTTGGGTCTTTGCTGCTGTGATAGAAGTGAGGGTTGAGGTAGCTTCTTGGTTGCAGGAGGGGGACACGCGTAAATATGATGAGCTTGACTCTTTACTTTAAGGGTTTGGCTCATCTTCACTGCCAGCAAGGATGAGCTCTGGAAGGTGGTGAGTGGAGGATTTGTCTGTGTGTTCAGTGCTCTGGTTACAGGGATGTCTATGCGCGTTGGCTGGATCGGAGGCGTAGGAGTTGGGTGTTGTGAAAAAGGAGTTCTCCAGACACCGGCACCACTCATACGGCTGCCCTGCTGTCGCTTTGTGGGAGAACAACTGTCTGAGAGGATATCATGAGTAGAAACACTCGAGCGAATAGGGAAAGATGAATAGTGGCTCATGGTTTGCTTTGCACGCTGGTCATTCTGCCTTTTGTCCAGCAGGGGGCCTCCACTGTCCATGCACAGGTTCTCCTGTGACAGAGCTTGCCGCTAAAAGGAGAAATATAGAGATTATATAGTGTATATATATAGTATTTATCATTATAGAAACAATGGACCTTTTTCACAGCAGCCATTTTGACATGATGTGAAAATGGTCTAAAAAACTTTAATTAACTAAAAATGCCAGTACAAACATATAAACGTCCTGTACTTTAAAAATATACAAATTATCAGCAAAAATGTACTTTAATTATCAAAAGTTAAAGCCGTAGTAGCACAGTTGGGTAGTTTGATCCAGTGGTTGCAATTCTAGGGTCACCAGATAAATCTGAGTGGACATCAGATGATTCTACTACACAGATTTGTATTCATATTGTAGACTTTTCTCTAATCTTTGCTTTATTGTAAAATATTAGATAATTATATTATAGTAGATAGTAACTTTATCTTTCAAATAAATGTAATAAAAGGACAATTCTTTATTTTTATGACTTATTAATCAATTTTTATTTTGTTTTCTGAGTAGCATAAAGGGTATATTTGATACTATATCTGAATTCAACCCTGCGTTGCAAATAACAATAAAATAAACTTGAATCCTTGAATATAAAGTAGCATAAAATTTAAATACTCAAAAATGTACCGAGTACAGTACTTGATGTTACTCCCTGCAACTGTGATCAATAGTTCCTTTGTTTACTGCTGATTAAAGGTCCAGTGTGTAGGATTTAATAGAAAAACTATGGTGGCCTGCAGCGTCTATAGATATAAAAGGCTCATTCTAAGTTAACAAAAACACAACAATTCCTATATTCAGATGTTTTTACACTAATAAAAACTTGGTTATACATATTATATTCCATTTCTGCCACTAGATCCTCCTAAATGTTACACACTGGACCTTTAAGACTTTCTGTAAAGACTTACCATGAAGGTCCTCTTATTGGAGCTCTGTCCATCTAAAGGCTTCACAGACACTTTGACTGTTTGCTGTGGTCGACTGGATTCAGAGAGGTTCTTGTCCTGGGATTTAGGGGTCGGAAGTGTCAAGTATTCCCTGTGATATGTCTGAATACAGGCATAGAAAGCAAACAGAAAAGGGTGATTTTGTGACATAAATTCACTACATTCTTGTAACTCTATAGCAGCTTCCTTCCAGTCTTGGTATGGAGCTGACATTGCTCTTTTTACTGAAGATTTTACAAATGTTACAAGGAATTAGACTCACATCGGCACAAAGGTTGATACTGGAAACAGCAGCCATGTTGTTCCCTCTCACCACCAGGTCAACGGGTTCATCTCCATCCTCGGGGGCAAAATCTGTAAATAAATACACTGGAGTTGTTCTTATGACTCAACCTCAAGCATTAAACATAAAGCAAACACTGCCTGGCAGCGGTAAGTGATTAAAATAGAAGAGCGCTCACTGGCCATGTTGGGGTTGGAGCGATAAAGTTGTCTGTTTCTCTGCGTTATCTGGTCTCTCCTCCTCCTGCTGCTTCCATGGAGCTGTTCTGACGGACCAGGATCCACAACACTGTACAGCACCAGTGCTTTACCGCTTGGATTAGCATGACTTTTATCACCTTATGAAGCAAGAAAAGATTTTAATTAGGTCACGAAGAGCAGAGACGGTGAAATAAAAAACAATGGTTTAACTTTTGTAGTGTGTTTACCTGTATTCCCTGAGGTTGGCTCACTCAGCAGACACCCCAGGCCGTGATAGCTCGCTCCAAACTTTGCAACCTGTAAGGTCACAACGGGGCCAGTTTGCATCATGATAGCTGCTGCCCTAAATCAATATAAGATCAATAAGGTAATTTACTTGTTAGTTAAGCAAACTTTTAAACTGTGAGAGCACAATATACCATAGTTCCTTTCTTATCAACTGACCAAAAAGGACCTGTATCCGGAAAGATCCATGGTATCCAAATCCGTAGTATATCATATCATCATATCATATAAAAATAAAATCTGTCAAAGATCCATGTCTGTAATGTTCTGGATACGTACAGCATCTGTCCATATCCAATCATATCACCACCTTGGATACTACCGTATTTATTTCAGTATATCTTAATCTGAGAGTAAGACACATAACTGTTGAATGAGCGTTGAAAGTAAAGATTACGTCGCTATCACCTGTTGACTATTTGAAAATGTATTTTGTATTTGTATCAGACAGAATGTATTTGGACATATAGATAATATTGTCCAACCAAACACAGTTGTCTATGACTGTGTTATAACAAAAGTTACAAGGACAATCATGTACACAGTTTACTGGCAGTCCATCCAATATTAAGATATTTCCGTTGTATAGTGGTGTAAACTAACAGACTGACGACACCATTCCTAAACACATAGTTTTCCCAACCAGCTGTATAACAGGCTGTTATGTGGCTACCTTTCTTGGCTGAGGCCGAGCAGGCTTTGACCGTCCACACTCAGCAGCTGATCCCCAGCTGTTAACCTGCCGTTCTGCACAAAGTGGAGACACAAGAGATTTGATCAATTATTTGAACCCTATACCGTATAATTCCATTAAATATATTCTGTTTACTGCACATATCAAGTTCAGCTCAATCAAAACTGTGTCGGATCTCACCATTTCAGCCGGCCCTCCCTTGACAATAGACTTGATGTAAATCCCGAGGTTACCTTGACCTGCTCCCTGTGGCAAAACAAGAGGGAGGACGTTAATTAGCTGAGACGTTCAGCAGCTAGTTTTCATGTTTAAATAGTTCCAGTTTGTGAACACGTCTGAATTAGGAAAAATCACCTTGGCAGCCACGATGCTGACCCCCATCCCACTGTTGAGAGGTTTGTTCAGTGTGATCGTCACAACCTCTGGCTGTCTGTGTGCTGCCTATTGAGGAGAATGGAAGTCAAAATATACGTATGTGTTATGTTTAAATTAAATTATATTTCAATGCATCTGGATCAACGCCATCTGTGTGTCTTTGCTTACCAAGTATGTTCTTTGTGCTGAGGAAGTTGGTTCACTGAAGTACACGCTCCAGTCGCCTCTGGAGTTCGGCTGGGACATTAAAGAGCAGAGACCTGGACAAGAGGGATCTCATTTAACACAAATATCAAAACAAAGAACCCATTTTAGAGGTTTTTATTTTAGATACAACACATTCCTGGTATTTTTGGGACTTTTTGCATATATGACACACACCTTTCCGGCAAACTGGCTCCAAAAACTCCCTAAACCCTTGAGGGATTCCTCTCACAGTGTCACAGGAGTATCCTCCGTCCGGCAGCAGGAAGGGCAGATGGAGGTCGAGGCTCTCCTCCAGCTGGATGTCCCGTCCTTCGCTTCGAATCAGGCTATCTGCCGAGGACTCAGCAGCCGTCACTACAGCATCGATCAAATCCTGCAGTGAGGATGACAAGTGGATCAGACAGCGGAAATATTTCAGGAAAAGGTCGTTCTAGTATATAGATTGGCATTTGTCATTCTGTGACAAGGCTTCAGGGAAGGGACATCCAATCTGCCTGCTCTGACCCTGAGCAAAACGATGAAGACCTTCCTGCAGATGACCCTGAGCTCCTGGGAGAGGTAGAAAAGTAACTGAGGATTTACAGTTTTGAGGTTCTTTTACTATACTTCACTACATTTCAGAGGAAATTACTGTACTTTTAATTAATTTATTTTAACTCAGCTATTGACTTTGCAGATTAAGATAACATACAGATATGGAAATATTATGGAATATAATGCATTGTTATCCATTAAACTGCCATATATATATATATATATAACAGTATATAATCTAAGCTCCACCTCTAAACATGATTATAGTCCTGTTTAAACAGAAATCCATCTGAAATGATCCATTAATATATAACAATATAATGTAATACTGATGGGACATTCTACCGAATAATGAGTACTTTTAGCTTTTAATACTTTCAGTACAATTTGTTTATAATTTGTACGTACTTAATGAAAGTAACTAATGCAGGACTACTTCTTTCACCACTAGCAGCAGTTTACTTGTGGCAGCAGTAATGCCAGTTTCAGTAGTAGTGAGTAGTAAATAAAGGTTATAGTAGAAGCAGTAGTGATACTTTTTAATAGTATATTGCAGTTCTAGCAGAGGTAGCAGCCAGTGGTGGACAGTGTTGGGCTAGTTAACGCATTACTCTTTCAAAAGTAATTTTATTTAGTTAGTTACACTACTAGTTGTATAACTTGTCTGCTACTCCCCATACAATTTGGTTTCAGACTTATGACGATAAAAATCCAGTTTTGTTTGGTAAAATCAAAGTAATGGGAATATTTCCAGCTGCTGAATGTAAGCCTTTACATCTTCCAAGGTAGGATGTGATTGTTGGATTTCAATCTAGTAAAGGGGGGACAACAAAAGTAAGGCATTTTTGGCTGGCCCTAACTGCAATATTATTACTGAAAATTATTAGTAATTAGTTACACTAGGTAACTATTTAGGGAAGTAATATTATTACGAGTAACACCAAGTAACTGGAGCAGCAGTAGTAATTCTTGTTGTCATGGTAGCGGCAATACTAGTCATCGTCGTCATGGTAACAGCAGTGGAAACAGTTGTCTCAAACGTTTAAGTTAATAGCTTATTGCTACATTAATGTATAGCTTAGCGAGTAGTAGTTGTACAAGTACCAGCTGCTGTGATGGTCGATGAGCTAATTCTTGTTTGGTTGTTGTGTACCTATTATCTTTTTCTTTTTGGCCCTTTCCCAAGTTTTAGCTGTATTTCCTAACTGAAACAAAGACTTGATGAACCAG